TCACCTTCTGTGTTCATTCTCTTGGCCCCTGGCCAACTGGACAGTGCTTACCCTAGTGAAAGCATCTCTCCCCACCTAGTCCACTCAGCTGCCTGTATGATCTTCTCTGGAGACACCCTCACAGACACACCAAAGCAAAGCTTCACAGATTCCTAGGCATTCTTTAATCCAGTCAAGTTGACAGCTAAAATTAACTATCATAATAAAAAAAATTAAATAGAACCAGACAGAAGATGTTATTTGGGGCAAAAGAAATTAAAGGCTTCTCACTCTTTTGTCTCTTTTGCCCTCTCTCCAATAATCAATATTTTGTTTTTATACAATTTTCAAATTTAAGACATAGCTATGAGAGACCACAAATATATACAATCCCCTCCTATGTTAGTCAGCTTTCTGTCACTGTGACAAAATACCTAAGGATAAGCAACTTAAAGGACAATACTTATTTTGGTTCACAGTTTCAGAAGTTTCAGTTAATGGCTGCTCAGCTGTGTTGCTCTGGGCCTGTAGGTATAGTACATCCTGGCAGAAATGCATGGCAGACAAATCTGCTTTCTTCATGCTGGCACAAAAAGCAGAGTGAGAGGAAGAGGCCAGGGACCCAATACCCATTCAAGTGCACACTTCCAGTGACTTAACTTCCTCCTATTGGCCCCACCTCTTAAAGGTTCCACCTCTTAAAGTTTCCACTTCCCAGTGGTGCCACAGATGGGCAATTAAGCCTTCAGCATACAGGGCTTTGGGGAACAGTTAAAATCCAAATCATAACATCTTCTTTTCACAACAGATGGTATACTATAACACTGTTCTACAGTGTATATTTTTCACTCTGTTTGGCTTAGAAATCTTTCCAAAATAATATGTAAAACAGCTTCCTCATTTTTTGTTCCAGCTACATAACATTCCATTGTATGAATTTAACACAATTTTGATTATTCTTGTTTGGACATTTAAATTATTTTCAAACTTTGCTTTACAAATAGTGCTACAATAAATAATTTTGTAGGTACATAATTTTGCATGTGGTCAAGTACACTTGTACATTCACTGACATAAAACTGCTGAGTCACATGCATCTGTAATTTGTTTGTTTTGAGACAGTCTTTCCAGGCAATTCATGCTAGCCTTGAACTCTATGTACCCCAGGCTGACCTCAAACTCATGAACCTCTTGCCTCATCCTTCATAGTGATGGGATTATAGTCGTGCATCACCACTACACCTGGCCGTTTGCAGTTTTTATAAATATTTCCAAATTTCTTTCTGTGGTGAGCTATAGCAGTATATTCCCACCAGCACTTGATGGGAGGCCTTTTTTCCATGGCTTCACCAATGAAGTCTGACTGAGCTTGCTGAAGTCTGTATACATTTTTTGGGCAAACTCTGTACTTGTCACTCTGTACAGTTTGCTCAGAGAATGTATACATATTCAGCAGATTATCATACTACTAAATATTTGGAAGCTAATGGCCACCACTTTGGGCATCTCTTGCAGCTGTAGAGGCCAAAGGTAACTTGTATTAATCTCATGATGTCTCAATAAGTTAGTTTATTAAAATATCTAGACAAGTTTTTTTCTTTTCTTGATGTATACATTTTTGATAGTCTGTATTATCTCAATGTGATTTTAATATGCTTTTCTTTAATTTTAAAACAAATGTCTTTCAAGTATATTATAGCTCTTTCCTGTGAACCGTCCTATCCTTTGCCCATTTTGAGTTACTAGTTTTCTCACTGATTTCTAAGGATTCTATATTCATTAAGGATAATGGTCTAACAGTAGTAGTGAACCTACAGCACGTGTGCTGCAGTTGGCTATTTGTATCACTTAACGCTCTAAAAGGTTCACTATCTCTGGTCTATTATATGAGTTGCAAAAAATTCTTTCTAAGATATCCTAATTATTTTTTCAACATTGTCAATTGTGTGTTGTTTTTACATGCATTTGCTTCTGTCTTTTAAAGTTTTAAATTTTATGTAGTCAAAGTTTTACATCTGTTATGGCTTCTGGCTTTTGAGTCATTGTTAGAAAGTCCTTTAAGGAATTCTTAGGTTGCATTCTTTTTTTTTCCCCCTTAGGTTGAATTTTTGTCTGCTTACAGTTTTTTTTTTTTTACATTAATAAAATTAATATATTCATAGTATTCAACTACTTTTTTTTCATTTACCATTATTTTCTGGACATCCATGTACATAGATAGAAGTACATAGATAGAAGTAAACACTTCCATTGTGTTAATAACTGTGGTGTGCCATGGTACTGATGTTTAGTTATTCGTTATTCATTAACCATTATAACTGGGCTTTCCAATGGGTTCCTATTTCTCAGAGTTATAAACAAACTTGCTGGGACAAGTCTTGCTGCTGTGGCCCATGGAGTTATGAAACTGGGATGCTGAGGATGAGCACAAAGCCAGACCAGCAGGCTTTAGAGGGCACTTAATCTTGTTTCTTCCCCTATAGGGCCCCCTACTGGTTCAAGCACAAAAAGCTGGTCCAGACTTGGAGACTTGGCTCCTCTGACTTGGAATAATGAAGCTGAGAGGCCTTGAAATCTGATTCAGTCCCTTCACTTGATACATGGATGTTCTGGTTGATACACTGTGTCAACTTGAAGAGTCTAGAGGCTTGACTACATGACTCAGCAGTTCTACATCCTGGGGTAAAAAGGACATGCGCTTCCTGCTCTAGGATGTTGTTCATTGTGTCAACTTGAGAAGTTTAGGTTAACTATGTGACTTAGTAGGGAGCCAGGGTCCTTACTTTGTATACATCCTTATCAAGTGCAAGAGGAGGGCATGGAGATTATGTGAGTCCTATGTCCCCCCCCCTTGCTACTTTTACTGTCTTCTCCTGCCTTGAAGCATTGCTCCTGTGCCATGCTACCCTGCCTTGGAGCCAGCTGATTATAGCCTGAAACCTCCAAAAACTGTGAGCTAAATAAACCTTTCCTTTTTTTTTTT